CTGGTCCCAAGAACTGCTCTAGCAAGAGGCCATATCACCTCTCTCATTTCCAAAGCTTAGCACTGTTTTGCCCCCCAGACTGCATGGACCTGCCCCCTAGACTGTTCACCCCAATAGGACAAACAAGAACATAAGACATTAAAGATGCAGACCTTTTCCTACTTCCTGAATGAAGTAAGCTACTATGGCCACAGAGCTAATGCTTTGTAGATTCACTTTTTAGGTTGTGCACTTATTTCCTTACAGTCCCACACTATTCAGACCACAACCACTAAGTGTGCAACCAGCACAACTACAGGGCATCTTCACTTTTGATGACATAGTTACAGCAATGTAATTATCACATTATTTTTCCTATCTGTTGCATATATTCCAGTTATTCCAATAGAATTCTAAAAGAATGAGAATTCAAAATTATGGAGCAGAAGTCCTCCATAACGGAAACAGCTGATGCTCAAAACTTTGTCAGACAAAAAAAGCCAAATAACCACAAAACAAAATATTATTACACTCCTAAATTCAAACAGAATAAAATGCTGTCAGATAAGAAGTACTCTCAGGAGACCACTCTTCTTGCTTAGCAACATTTTAAAAAGCTCAAATTACTGAACTATAAGTTACAAAAGTCTTAAGAGGTAATTTTCAGAGGCACAAAGAAACCATAAAACATCCAGTTTGCACAAAATTTTCAGTGAGACAAAAAAACTTCCCTTGTAATTATGACAAGGTCACAGGAGCAGCAGAATGCTGGCACAATCTACTACTAAATCTTCCTGGGAAGGTTGGGGTTAATGATTCAAAGAACTGTTGCCCAATTGCAATGAAAATTGCAACTGCCACATGCTGAATGCTATTCATGCAAAGCCTGAGTGCTGTGTGCACCAGTTACCTTTCAAACACCTCCATCTGTACGAGACCCACCTGAACTTCTCAGTGCATATAATGCAATGGATTTTGTACGTTTTTCCTCAAAGCAGTGAATCTCATTCTGAAAGTAAACACTTTGTTCAGACTGACTGGCTATTTGATCTTAACTATAAAAACATTCTTGCATAGTCACAAGATGTTAAAAAAATAAACTTCCTGAAGAGGGAGGATAAAATTGGAAGCAGTGAAATACAATCTGACAGTTTTAAAATCCATTTGACTGAAACAGAACAAGCTGGCACATAAACACCAGGGTAGCCAAGGGCTTACTCACTGACTGAAATACATAAGCAGGACTAGCTGCTTATCTCTACAGATTTTTCAGTCCCCCACTAAACAAGGATGCACATTCAATAATTCACCTTTCACTCTCCAGCAATAGAGCACAGCAGTCAGGTCACATAAAGAGATGCAACATTTCAGTGTGCAAACATCCTGCAGCTATTCAGAACTTCAGCTCCGTCAAAATACAACGCTATCATACTACCCAAAGTTAATTTCCTTTAAAGAGTAAAGCAACTGAAGTAAGCCACCTAACCCTCCACTTGGATCTCCAGCAAGTTTCTCAGGAAGAGCACTTAGCAGTCTGATGGTTCTGACAGCCAGGCTACTGGTGGAACACTGACATCAACCACCACAGTTACCACAGCCAACACATGGATTTCAAATCCTATCTCAACACTTGCTGAATACTTTCCATGCTATTTGCAATAAAATGTTCTGAAGCATCTAAATGCACATACGTTCCATCAGAAACCTTTTATTTATTGTTACACAGCACTTCAGAGATCATAGACATGATACAAACAAAGGACTTTCCCTTTTTGGACGTGGTTCTTACAGTCTCAAAGAAGAGCATAAACAAACTGCCACTTGCCACAGCAGTGCACCTTCTTATTTAAAACACTTTAAAAATTGATATTGTAGTAGATGTTATTTTTAAAAAAAGCAACTTACATACCCTCTGTAGATATCACTACAGCACTTAAATTTCTTGAGAATTTTTTGCTGTAACCAAAAATCCATGAAGAAGCAAAAGGACCACTAACATGAACGTCAGTGACAGAAAGAAGGAATGAACAAACTTCTTTCCCCTCATCTAACCCTTTTCCCAATCTCACATACACTGCCTCTCTCAGACCGAAGGGCTTATCTGGGTATCCTCATTTCCCCAGAGTGTTTTACCCATGCATGCCTACAGTGTTCCTTCTTCTGAAGGAAAAAGCACATCTGCTACACAAGCAAGTAAAAAGTTCAGTTGATTGCCTGCTGAATTTCAATTGAAAGGGAGCCACATAGAGACAGAGGCAGCTTCCACGGCAGATTGCTCCATGCTGGAGAACTACAGATTTTGCCTACAGTACACCCACCTCTTTCTTCTCAGGTAAGAACAGAGTGCTGTAAAAGCCACCTTCCCTGCAGGCAGTCTCATCAACTCCTCAACAAGACAAACTCATCACTGTCGAGGAAACCCTTGATGGCTTCACTCCAAGCATGCAGGGACAGGCATCATATACACCACCTTGCAAGACACAGCTATACAGAAAAGCAACAACTGCAAAATACTGCCAGCATCTCCACAAGCCCTGAAATAAGCTATCTGCATGCCACTTCACAGCATCCAAGTGTTTTCCTCAAAAGGCAAGTACTAAAATTTCGGTTAACAGCTTAACAGTAATGGGCATACAACGCTGCAGAAGACTAAATTATCTGCTTTACTGCTGCTCATATTAACTATCCATCCATCTACCCGCAGTTGCACCAACTGCTGTGTGTAGTCTGTGTCATGCAGCAGGCACACCAGGGTCCTGGGGAAGCTCCCTCACTTGCTTTGCCAATAAATGCTGTCCAAACTGTTTAGGAAATGGATGGCATCCACGTACTTCCATTCTCAAGGGACTCATTCAGAAAATGATCTTCCTAAACCATGGTTTGCTGTGCTTCAGAAACAAGCGCACATGAAGCTATGCTGCATAATCAAAAAGCTAGGTTATTTCAGCATGAATAATTAGAAACATGATGGGAAACGCATAGAAATACTCATGCATCTACTGTTAAATTCTGCACTCAGGCACTAAGACTTGAATTCCAGCTCCCAGACGAACCAGCTGGATCAGTTTAGGAACAGCAGGATGGCAGTATCAGCCAGCCTCAGTTCCTTGCTCCTTACGCACTTGGTGTGGAATGCAGCCCTCAAGCACAGCCTAAGTGGCAGGCAGCTCCTTTACAGGGGCACCTCACATTGTCACACTTCAATCCACTTCAGCTCATGCAGAACATCTAAATGAAGCTGTACACAAAGGACAGGAAAGGGAAAGTCTAGGTACACTGGGTATTTGTCATATCCCACAGATTCACTGTATCCCTACATAAACATGTTAAAGATCACCAGTTCTGGATGGCAGAAGTTTTACTGTCTTTCATCATTAGAATGATGGGGACACTGCTGGTGTTACCTTCCGTGTAACTCTCGTACCATGGATGGAGCAAGAAAACTGCAACGTAGCAGAAGGAAGGAAATAATATAGCTGGGGAGTCCTGCACACAGGGTGAAACAGCTATAGGACAGAAGTGCAGAAGCAACAGATGAGCCTTGAGAACCCACAGAGCTGATGAACGCCCCCAGACCAGAGAGAAGAATGCCACCATCATTCCTGATTGTACAGAATAACAGAACAATCACACAACCAGCTTCCTAACTTGCCAAGAGACCTAAAGCTAAAGGAATTATACATCACTAACATTATTGTTTCTCAGCCAGAATATTTCCCAAAATACTGGGTGTTGCTGCTACATTTCTTATTTGACTGGCTCTGCGGCTTGTTTTTTCAAACAACCCCCTCTTTCCCATGCAGCAGAACTGGATCAAATCTCAAAGAGGCAAGCAGTGCTGGAGAGCTATTGAAGGAAAATATTTAGATGAAAAGAAAATCCTGCCTCACAGCTCTAGCCAGTAATTGCACAGCCCCAGTTCTGAAATGCAATCAAGCCAACAAAATCATACAGCAACAGCAAAAGTCAGTTCCGTTGTAAAAGCGGAGAAACATGAGAAAATAAAAGCATGTCTGCATAGTACAACTTTCCAACAACCTCCTGAAAACATAACAGGAAGAAAGAAAATTGAGTTTTGATATTTTAGAGCCTATGGTGCTTTTCTAACTTCTGCAGATTTCTGGTAGCTTAAGATCATGATTTAAGATCCACAAAAAGACTGAATGAAATCAGCCATTATGTTTTCAAACGTATATGGAGGGGTGAGGAGGTGCAACCTCACACTTGTGGTTAGGTGCACTTCCCAACCACTTCAGCTTTTGGAGAACAGTAGTTCTCCACAAAATCCCACAGATACAAAAAAAAAAAAAAAAAAAAGAAAAGAAAAAAAAAAAAGCCATGAAATCCGCACAACAACAAACCACCACACCAAAAACAACATGAAAAACATCCAGAAGAAACAAATCCAAAACTCAGATATAGTAGAGCAACCAGTTGCTAGGTCTTAAACAAAAAAAAACCTTACACCTATCACCACTGCAGAGGTCAGAAAATATCTTAGAAAGGGACACCAGCAGGACTCAAGTTCTGGCAGGCAAGATATCGATCAGGCTGTTGCACTGCAACTAAAAACAATTCTCTATTTTATAGAGCTATTGTTTGAATGGCACTTTTAAAACAAACAAAAAATCCTGTACTTTTTCAAGTCAGAAGTGCAGTGAACTACTCCAGCCACACATCTCTGCTCCCCCCACATACCAGTACCAGCAGCCCAGTCCCTCAGCCACCCCCATCTGCCAGGTCAGGAGATCCATTTGGCTAAAAGTACAACTGAACAAGATGCATCCTGAAAATTAGGAAATCCTGATGACCATTAGCATTTTGCAAACACCTGCTTTGCACAAGTACAGAAATAAATATTTCATTTCATTCTGCTTACAAAGAAAATTGAGGAATACGTTTCAAAATTAATGAAGGTTTAAAGCTTTAAAACTTGGACAAATTAAAGTTAACAACACCCAGAAGCTGGTTATACTTATTGTATTAAAAGATTGCCAAATTCTGGCTGACAGATTTCTCACCTGTCTATTCCCAGAGGCTTCCTCAGACTGGATTTTTCTTTGAGCACCCAAACAAATTTAGACGGACGCCACAGGTGCTCATTTGCACTTCCAGTAGAATCAGAATTGGAAAGAGGTTATTCTTCTCTGTCACTCTCTTCTGTAAATATCTGCTGGAAAGTTCACATCACAGCAAGCTGTTTGATCCAACAGTTACTTCAAGTTTTCTGTTCTGAGCAACAGCATTCATCCACAGGAGAGGCCAATTGAAGCTAAGAGAAGAACATCTATTCAGCAAAGAACTTCAGTATCTTCTCCCACGGCTCAGTTACTCCTTGCTTCGCTCAGACACTTCTTGGAACTGCAAGCTGGAAAAGAAAATACAACTTGCTCAGACAAGTAAACTCAGACGAGACACATGCTCTTCAGCACATGATAAACTGCTGACAGTTTATAATCTCTGTTTCAGGGCTACACAGTCATAATACAGAAAGCCCCTCTAAGGCACTGAACTAATGTCGAGTGTCATCAAGAACACCACTGCATGTACAGAGAGAATTGAGCCATTTTCCCATTTTGTGTATCTCTTGAACTTTCACAGAGGCAGTTTTGGCAAGAGTTTCTGCTTCTCACCTCCAGATCCAACACTGACACCATATGGACTGAAGACCAATTTATTGTTAGCTGACATAAGCATTAAGCCCATACTAGAGAGATAACATGGTGGGGCAAGAAAAATCACCAGACATAAAAAAAATAATAATAAAATCAGCTTTTAGATTATAAATATATTTTGATAACTTCATGTTTTTCAACCTGGAATACAATGTGACAACAAAAGAGCCAATTTTCATTTATTGTCATACTCAGAAATGTTTATAAGTTAGGACATAACACTGTTCTCCCATGGAGCAGAGTTCATTCACAAAACTGGCTCCTTTCATATTTCTCCTGAGAAGAAACAAACCACGACAACAGCAGAGCTAATACACAACCTGACCTTGCAGATGGCCAAAGCACAATAAGGGACATCAGTTTGCCATTATTTTGGTTTAAACTTGCCTCTCTATTTGCTGTGTTCTCTCAGAGAATGGAGCAGAATCCTCCCACTGCTGAGGTCCAAGCACAAGATGCCCCACTTACATATGCAGATCTCTGCCCCGGAGACTGACACTGGCTTTTCCTCCCCTACACTTCAGGTCACTGAGAAAAGCAGAGGCCTGCAGGATTCCTGCTTCATCAGCAGCACTATCAGCAGCACTCTGAATAACACACAGCCTTCTGAGTTTCCCTCGAACTGTTTTATTTCCTAGCAGATAAAATAGAAAGAAAAATAATATTAAGCAGCAATTCACCTCCTCCTCCCTTTCCTCCCCACGTGACAGATATTCAGTCACACACCGACACGCCCGGCTAATGACCGTGAGCGCATCCTCATTATTTATAAGCTGTTTACTCCCGTTGTCAGTGAGGGGACTGGTAATCCTCTCTACCACACGAACCACTTCACCTTGTCAAAACAAACGGCAAGAAGACAGAGTGTGTGGCTGCACGTTTGGCTCTAAGCAACCCCCGCCGAGCCTCAGCGCCCCGAACCGTCGCTGTGCAGGCACGGCAAGGCGCGGCACGGAGCGGAGCGCCGGACAGGCTCAGCCCACAGCAGCGGCTCCCGGCACCGCGCAGCGCTGCCAGAGGGAAGCACAGCCGCTCCCACCCACAGCCTGCCGCTTCCAAACGCACTGCTATGAGGCACGCAGACGCAGCGAAGCACAGACCTCTGTGCTCAGGCTGCAGGACGTTGGGCAGCCACCTCAACCTCTGTAACCGACACAAACACCGGGGCTACAGCCGGCTCCAGCGGCCTCCTCAGTGCTTGCAGCTCTCGTTCCAGACGCTCCGCTGACAACCAACTGCTTCGAGAGCCAGCTGGAAGCCTTACGAGCAACCTCCACGTATGAATACTTTTCAACCCGCAGCACAGCGGCCCCGCAGCCGCACTCTATCGCCAAAGCTTCCAGCCCGGGGCTGCCCAGGCCCTCAGCACCGCCCCAACACCCACCTCCTCCGGCGCTCCGCGCGACGGGAGGCTCCACCCGCGGCGCTGCCGTGTGACGTCACAACCCGCCCCTTCCGGTCCTCGCGCTCCGCCATGTCCAGCCGGAACGGGTGGCTCGGGGGGGGCGGGGCTCTCAGCGCGGGTACGTCTGGGAGGCGCCATCTTAGGTGTGGGCGGCTGGGTGGGGAAGCATCGGAAGCCCTTTCCCTTTAGATCCATTAAATGTTTATAAAAGATGTTAGTCCTTTCTTGCGCCCAGAGGATCCCCAGACTCGTGTCTTGGCTCTTTCAGCTAGCAGTTTGAAGTGGTGATTCGTGGCTGGGATTGGAATGTCAGATGCTGGGGTGTCTGCACTGTGGAATGCTCCCTGGCTGTCATGAGTGCTGTTGCACAGGATGCCCTACACCCAGCAGCCCTCATCTCTTCTGGATGTGGAAAGGGTACTGAGCTGGGGGAGTGTCTGGACAGTGCTGGTCCAGACATGTGGTCCAATTTTTGTGTGGTCCTGTGTGGAGCCAGGAGTGAGGTTCACTGATCCCTGTGGGACCCCTCCAGCTCGTGATATTCTGAGATTCTCTCCCCACCCTAACCCTGTCAGGTAGTCATCTCAGGGCTCAAGGGGCTAAAACATAGTTTCCTTTCAGCTCAGAGCTCCCAGGGAATGGCTGACTTGCATGGACACATCTCCCAGCATGGCTCTGCAGCCAGCAGGCGGTAGAATAGAAATAGAGATCCTGCCTAGAGTCCAGGCAGGGACCCCAGATCCCCAGGCTGTCTCTGTGCCATGACAATGGGAGGCTCCTGCATCTCCTGACATGTCCTGGGGCTGTGCCTTCTCCATACTCCTCTCTGTGGAGTCCTGTCCCTGAGGGCTGAGTGCTGTGATGCAGTGGCACTTTCTCACTCCCTGGCGGCTGCTGTGTAGGATGTGCAGCACCAGGCTTTACTGGGATTTTCCCACCACCCCCTCATCCTCAGCATATTAGCACCCTTAACACCACTAAGGCCTTTGGAGCAGCAGCTTGGAGAGGTTACGTATCATGCGCCCAGCACACAGTACCAGGCAGAGTCCCTGGATTCCAGATTTCCCGCAGCAAGCTACCATGGCCCACTCACCAGGTCCCCAGCCATCACACCAGTCTGGCCGGGAATTGGCAGAGGCACAGATTCTGGCAGCACTAGAGGGCAGCAGTGGTGCAGCCAGGAGCAGCCCGCGGTCTGATCTGTTCACCGTCGCCCTTGACGTCTTTTACCTCTCGCAGCCTATCTGCTGCGCAGGTCACAGACTCCCGGCAGCAGAAGACAGTTAGAAAACTGCCTGAGCCCCCTTCTTATCCTCTCACCGAAACTGGCTTAAAACTTAGCTGATTCTTCTCTGAGCTGGACAACACTGCTGGTCTCCACTGGGAGTCATCCCAGAACAGCACAAAAACATGCTCAGGCCACAGCAAAGTGAAGGAATGGAATCAGAACTCATTTGTTCCCAGCTGGAGACTGAGTCCTGCAGTAGACAGCTCTGTGGGCCCCTGCTGGCACGAGGATAAGAGGACAGGATCCGAATTTCAAGCTGTCCCTTGTCCTAGGAGCAGAGTCCATGTGTCTGGAGAGTCTCTTGAAGTTACTCGGGGCAAGTCCAGCTCCTCCTTGGGACAGAAAACAACTCTTGTGCTGTGCAGATGTGTTTATTTCCACCAGGAGCATCTGTTCAGTTGCTTTTCTTATGGCATGAGGAAAAACCCATGTCCCTTAATTGAAAGCCCAGCTACTTTCAGGCTTCTCATGTCACACTAAGGGGTGTCACAAGGAGATTCAATCATGGTGGGACTTGCTGCACTCCTATTTTGGGTATGGTAGAAGAAACTGGTTTTAGCGTAACAGCTGCCACACAAGATGACATTAGCATCATGCCATGGAAGTGAAAACCCTTCAAAAGAGGAAGCTGAGCCACAAGTCCTGAAGGAGCAAACCCTTGATTTAGCTGATCTTTACACAGCTCAGCCAGGTTCCTCCAATGGTTAGTGGCAAGAAATGAGCACCAGCTTCTCTCGCCTCAACTTCAGGCTGTGCTGCTGGACACAGCCAGCCCCAGCACACCCATCTGTTCTCCGGCTTTGCAAGTGGTACCCCTGGTGTTTTCCTCCTTAGACATGCCCTGCACTGATACACACTCCCAGCTGCCTTGGTGAGAGTTGGAGCCGCTCGATTTCGCCTTCCACTGTTTTCCACTCATGCTCAGAGTGTTTTCTGGTGAAGAAGAGATTTTCTCATCGGATGAACTTATCATTTATTTCCTCCTGAAAATCAGGATTTATCTTCATATTTGCATAATATGCAAAAGGCCTGAGACAGCGGAGACCAATGGGACAGAGAGATGAACTGTGGAAATGTCAGCAGAAAATTGAGTTTCTGAAAAGCAATGATGTCTGGGAGAGAGAAGCAGAGGTGTGGAACCAGGGAAGAACGACAAGGTGAAGGGTCTGCTCCACCATACCACCATGTTGTGCTTGATAGAGAAGCACTTCCCTTGTGACTCTCTTGGCAACTCCATGAAGAAACTTCAGTATCGGAAACTCAGACCTGGTGGTACTTGCAGACAAATGCAGACACGTACAAACAATGCACACAAGGGGCCACGGAAAGGGAAGGCAGACAACTTCTCCCCGTTTTCCTGTCCATTGTTTTCTATGCTAGTTGTCCAAGAGCTTCACCAAAAGAAGAATATCAGACCCATCACATGAAGGCAGTGACAGCCTTACATTTGCGTGTTTAATCCCCAGCGTGCTGGGAAGCTGCTTGTTTTAGGGAAACAGGAAGACCTGAAATAGCAGAAGCTGGAAACACGTGACTGGCTGGGTCAGACAGGGAGGCAAGGAACAGAGCTGAGAGTATCCAGTCTCATGCCACTCCCTGTGCACAGCACAATTTTCTCCTTGGCATCGTCTCATAATGAGCCCTTTTCTTTAAATTCTAAAAATAACTTGCAGTGGTAGGACATGCAGAACAAGAAAAGTCACGTGAGACTTGCTGCAAAAAATGAGCATGCGGCTGGCCATCATACTAACAAAGATGAGAAATTACAAGAATTACAGAAGAAAAGATATTTCAAGTCCAAAGATCACTGCAAATAATATGAATAGACTCAGTGCTTGCCTCAGTGCAGAAAATCTGAGGTGATTGTGTTGAGGAGGGTTTCAGAGAATTTGCAGGCTTAACTCCCTGCTTGAACGCAGACTTGGTGCCAGAAGGATGGTGATAGAGGACTCCACTGTGCTCGTATTCATTTAATTAGTTTAATTATGAGGTTAATGCCAGCTAAGCCAGCAAGGAGCCAGGATATGGATCAGCTTTGTTTCTATGTTCTCCATAAGTCTTGCCCCAACCTGGGCAGTCTTAGCAACATCAGACGAAGGGATATTGGCCAGAAAGGAGATCAGACTCCTGTCACTGGTCCAGCTGATACTGCTGTTGTTGGGAAGTGCAGGAAAGCATCTTACAAAGAAGTGGGGGAAAAGGTGGCAGGAGAAAGCCGAGAGTCTGGATAACGTTTCCCTACTGTTGTTCAATGCTGTAGGTGAATTTTGCCATTGAATGAAATTCCACTCATTTAGAGGCATGCAATACTCATCTGTTCCTTGTCCCCAGGGATGGCAGCAGCCAACTCTTGTCCTTAGCAGAGTAGAACAATTAAGGGAAGTGACCTACTGAGGCAAGGGGACAGGATGCTGTGCTGGCTGCCACTGCCTGCATTGTGTCTTTGGATACCTTAGGGATGAAGTCAGACAGCAACTTGCTACAGATATCACTCACTACTCTGCAATCTATTCAGACAGACACTGCAGGCAGTAGTACACTGTTTACTATGGAAATTAAGTTGATCACTGAAGGAGTTCACACTGGGAAAGTCCTTCAAGCTCTATTTAGAACAGGGATTCAGCTCTTGGGCACTAGAGCATCCTAAAAGATGGTCCGGGAGAGACTTGCTGTTCATGGCAAATATCCTGTTGAGAGGTGGTGTAGCTAAAGAATCCTCTGTGGGCTGTAATGGATGCTGAGAGGTCACTAAGAAGCACCTTCAGCCTGGTTCTCTGAACACTCTGTGCTTGATGGAGACCTCCGTCCCCCCAGCTGCCTATTTCAGCTTTAATATCTTGATCCTTGCACTGTTCTTCTTCTTTGCAAGTAGGCTGAGCGCATCGTGGCTGTTACATAGCCCTTAGCCTCATGGGTCACCCATAAGGGGCATGTTGCTGTGTTCTGCAGTCATGTTTCTTTCACTTGTGGTCAAAACCTGATCAGTTCAGCCTAAACTACAGCTCTCCTTACAGCTCCACCCCAACCAGCTCCCCTCTTTCCTGCCTTTCCTTCCAGCAGTTGGAGAAATGCCAGAGCAGTGATGACCTGTGAAGTCCCAAGTGTTGTATTTCTCCACCAGATCACTCCATGGTTTCACATCCCTCTTTGACATCACTTCTAGAATCTGCTGTCTCTATGGTGGGAGGTGATGGGACTAGCATTACTGGGCTGCATCATACCTTTCAGTTCTGGGAAGGCAGTTTGTTTCCGAGGAATAGTTTCAACAGACAGAAACAAAAAGCCAAAGCTTACTCTTGCTTTCCTCCTTGCTGAATTGCAAGTTCCTCTTGGAGGAGTTCAAGCCACCCCATTTAACAGAAGCATGTTTCTTGCCAAGAGAGCCAAGCAGCTATTGCACGGCTGCAGCTGATTCAGATAAATCCAAGATGTGAGGAAGAAATGGCTGAGGAGGACTCAGAGCCTGAGTCATTCCACAGTCACAGTCCGCAGACACTCAGCACAGCAACATAGACTTTTACAACCTATACAGCTACAAAGATGAATGCACATTATCAAACCAGCACAGGATGAACTGGGTTCTGAGAAGGTGCAGAGGGATGATCTGTTGGGGGGGAAGTATTTGAAGTGCAGAGATATTTGCTTTCTGCTCTCATGTGCCTCACAGCTAAAAAGCTTGCTGGAAAATACTATTTTAAATCAGGACCTGAAAGTGCCCTATATCTCCCATTTCTGTAAACATGGAACAATTCCCCCCAAATATGCCAGAGGGCTTGTCAGAAAAGAGAAGTAGCAGGTGCTATCCCTGGGGTTAGGTTATGCTGTGAGTATTTTGAGAGATCTTACATCATTGTGGCCAGCCCAACTGTCTGGAGGGCTAAATATTTCTCCTCCCTCCAGAGGATGTGGTTACTGTCCTAAATGAAGTGGGGCACATGACTCCCCAAATCAGCAAGCGCACCCAACCCTGAGCTGTGAGAGCTCAACCCAACAAGAGCTACTCAAAGCAAGAATATATGCAGTTCAGAATCAGGGCTATGGTTACACATGCATGAAAGAGAAGTTTTGCTGAAATAGAGAGCTCAGTAACCTTCTTACAGTTCAATAATGAGGTAATATGTTCTCTCGCCACATGGTTTTGAGGGCAGGAAATGTAATAGCTCCTTACCTTGCTGTTTTGTTTAGATTTGTGTACAAATACCTCAGTGTATGTTCCCATCACAGGACTGACCTAATCTAGTTGAATGCAAAGAAGAAAATCAGCCCCTTACTCTAATTTCTTCAAAAATTTCTTCATGAAAGAACATCAGCCCTGTGGTAGGCTGAGGAAGCATCCTGCTCCACCAGCCTCCACAAAGGCCTCTCCAGGTCTCACATCTGCACACCTGCCCTCCTCCTGGGAGGCCACCATACAGCAGATTGTCCGATGGATGGTGGGGGTGGAAAAAGCAGGAGGGCTTGTGGAAACAGGGAGGTACGAGGAATGTCTGCTCAGAGGAGACCCTGTGAAAAGAGCACATGGGACTCACTGCTGAAGCAGTAGCTACTCTCTGGTAAACAAACACTGCACTCTCCAGAAAGACTGAGTTTGCAGCTGGGCTTGTAGGAAATAGCACAGTTACGAGGCTACAGTTGCCTTAATTTTGGTTAGCCACTTCCCATCCTTCAGCAGCCCCATGTATGCTCATCTTGCTTCTAAGAAAACAGGAGAATGGTTACCAGGCAGCAGTCTGCACTGCATTGAATGCATAGTTGGAAATAACGCAGTCAACATAGGGTCTCCTCACTTCCCAGTCGCACAGGCCAGTATCTCCCTGCCCATGCCATAGCTCCAGCCTCCCCATGGCGACTTACAGAAATGTGGTCTGCCAAGCTCGAGGGGATGGGCCAAGAAGCGTGGGGTGACAACACAGCCCCTCTCCTAGCAGCACCCACAACAAACATGCCCCTGCAGCAGAAGAGCAGTGATGCATCACAGGGGTTATCAGGCGCAGCAAATTTGAGGTTTTAAAGTATTTATATATGTAGTTGCTTAGCAACATTTGCAGCCACCTTGCTTATGTAAGCCAACAAGCAGCATCTGAGGGCTGTGGTACCGCAGGTTTCCACAAGCAAGCACTCAGCACTGTGGCTGCCCAGCTAAAGGCCATGATGCCAACTGGGCCAGGGGTGAGCTTTTAAAAAAAATACTTTTCCCCCACATACTGGTAGCATGCAAGCAATAGAGAGAACAGGGCTGTGGGTGGAATAAATATCAGATTCAAAGTTAGACTGCAAGGGTGAAACTCCTGCACAGAATGAGTCAGAGAGGAAAAAAAATGTCCCAACTGACATTACAGTCACTGACATCACCATTCACCCCCTACATACACATGGACTGTCCCAGCAGCTCCTGCTGCTCTGCCCCTTTTGATGTGGGATGAGTGTCCCCACAGAGTGGGGTGCTCGAGCTCTGCCCCGTGCTAGCATCAAGGAACATTAAGCATCATCTCTGCCCCCAGTTCCACCATGCTGTTCTCACCCTCTCTCCTTTTGGTTGCCCTTTAAAGGCACAGGGGTCCACGTACCAGCTCATTAGACACATCTCACAGCATGAAGTGAGTGATGACACGCTACCCCCACACACAGCCTGCCCTTTGCTAAGCTCTGCTGGGACAGCTCTGAAGCTCCAGCCACATCCCTATCCTTCCCCAAGTGTTCACTTTGCAGGATTAGCATTTGTTCAGAATTCTGGGACAGTTAGACATCAAACTAATCGATTACATAACCAGTCGCCCCACTGTCACTGTCCTGCAAACCAAGGAGAGAAGGAAGCTGTCACGTTTCCAGTTCAGACAGTTGCAACAGAGTTCCACATGGCCCTAGTGAACAAACATGTCACAGGGGAAGAAGAGCAGTGTCATCAGCTGAGGCAAGCAGGGCCTCTCCACCATCTCCCCACATCCCTCCTGGTCACTGTGCTGACCAAGGGGTAGCTTCTACAGAGGGGAAAACCAAAGGAAACATCAGGGCCTGTCCTCCAGCAAGAGGGAGCTCCCAAAGCAGCCTCTGTACAACACTATCCACAGACATCCCCACCTTGCCAAACATACTGGGGATAAACTCACAGCTGCAAACCTGGCTTCACAGCAACGAATCTTGTTTACTTCATTTCTTTAAGGCAGTCAAGAAATAATCCCTGTAACGTACCATTAGGGTAAAGTAGGCATCTCATCTCCTCTAACAAATGGAGGTGGAACAGAGTGTACTCTGCTTCAGGCTCTTTCCTTCTATTGAGCATCTCCTCCACCCAAGTTCACTTGAGGGGATGTCCGAGCAGCTGCAATTGCAATTTATATGCCCTGCCCCTTCATATAGCTGCTGATGAGCCTTCCAGCTGCTTGTGCCCCATTCTCTTCCACCTCTCCAGCAAGGCCAGTGCAGCTGGGTGGATCCACCCCCCTGCTAGAGCAGCCAGGCCCTTTGCCAGCTCCTGAAATTTCTCCAGGGAGCCCCATTCTCAGGGACTGGATTTTGTCCCTGTCCCAGCAGGGCAGGGCGCTTTCCCAGCAGAACACAAAGCAGCAAGAATGTTTGAGTCCTTGGGATACAGAGAGCAGCGTATCACAGCAGGGGACACTCCTAAAGCCTCCCCAGCAGATGCTGCCACCCTCCTTCAGGCTGTCCATACACTGCTGGCCCTAGAAGAAGTCCGGCAGAGGGCAAGAAAGATGATGAAGGGCCTGGAGCATCTCCCACACAAAGAAAAGCTGTGAGACCTGGATCTGTTCAGCCTAGATAAGACAGAAGGGGGATCTAGATATTTATAAACATTGATCAATGCAGTTGGATAAGGCCAGATGCTTTTCCACAGTGCGTAGTGGTAGGACCAAGAGCAATGGCAAAAAACCTAGAACACAAGAAATTCTACACAAATATGCAGAACATCTTTAAGGTGAGGGTGACGGAGCACTGGAACAGGCTGCTGAGAGAGGTTGTGGAGTTTCCTTTTTTGGAGATATTCAAGACCTGTTTGGACACCTACCTGTGCAACCTACTATAGGAAACAAATATGATCAGGGGACTGGAGCACCTCCCCTACAAAGACAGGCTGAGGGAGCTGGGCTTGTTCAGCCTGGAGAAAAGAAGGCTGCGGGGTGACCTCATTGCAGTCTTTCAGTACCTAAAGGGAGCCTACAAACAGGACAGGAATCAACTCTTTGAAAGGGTAGATAACAGCAGGACAAGGGGAAATGATTTTAAGTTGAGGGAGGTTGGATTTAGGGGGAAGTTCTTTACAGAGAGACTGGTGAGGTGCTGGAACAGCTGTGGATGCCCCATTCCTAGAGGTGTTCAAGGCCAGATTGGATGGGGCCCTGGGCAGCCAGGTCTAGTATTAAATGGGGAGGTTGGTAGCCCTGCATGTGGCAGGGGGTTGGAGATTCATGATCCTTGATGTCCCTTCCAACCCTGGCCATTCTGTGAAATGTGCTTTAATGGGGGAGTATTGTCTGTAGAAGTCCCTTACAACCTCTGCAGGTCTGTCAGATTCTGTCAGGAACAGCACAGCACGGACTGGTCCCATAGACAGCAGGAGCTCAGAGATAAATCCGACAACAACAGAACCTACCCCATGCTCTGGGTCATCCAGGCACAGGCAAGCTGAGCCCAGGCAAGGACACAGATGACCAGGGGATCCACTGGAGTCTCCCACCTGCCTTCAGCCAGTGGAAGGCTGCTTAACTCATTCCAAGCCTCCCCAACCCTTCATAGCCCATGGGGAGCACCCAGGGCTGGGAGAAGTGTCTCCTTGCAGGCAGCTCCAGAGATGAAGTAAGCTCACAGGAGCAGGACAAAAACACAGAGACAAACTCAGAGACTTAAAATCCCGTTCATAAAAATATATTAACTGTACAGTGTACATCATCATTGTTACAGTATTGACAGCAGAAGTCAGGGTAGAGGCACTTGGGGTCCAGGCAGGGGCCTTACTTGCAGATACCCAAGAGAAGCAACAGGCCAGCAATGGCTGCCACTGTCTGACATACTGCTGCAGGGACAGACTTCCTGAACCAGGAGAGGACACCAAGGTGTCAGTGAAGCACTGCTAGTTGATCTTCACCCGTATCATCATCATGCCACTGTTGAATCTAGAGGATAAATTCCCCAGATCCACTTGGTCAGCAGCCACGAGTCCCTCTTTCAGAGCATAGCCTGATGCCCTCACCAAGAAGGTTTCATATCTTAGTGCCAGCAGAGTCCTGTCCTGCATATGGAGGCAGACTGAAGCCCAGCAATTAAAGCAGAGCTGACTATGTCATCATTCACAGCTGCTAGCCAGCAGACCTCAGCAGATCTCGTGGCAGGCCCAAAGCAAGGATGAAAGCGCTGTTCCATGGCTGTGTCCACAATAACGTTGAGGACCATCCTCAGGCTCCCACTGCCTTTATGCAAGCTTGCCCTGCCCAGCCCCAGGGTCTGGGGAGCCCCTCCTTCTCCTTGACTGGAGGTGCCATGAACATGCAGAGCTGAACATGCAGGCCTAAGCTTGCCAGTGCCGTGAGACTGGCACAAGCGCAGCTGTCCCCAACCCCACAGCACCAGAAACACATTCCAGTTCTCCCACTGCTGGAGCAAGAAGCAGTTGTCGAGGCAGGATCAGTCCATGTTTGTGGCTGGGATTGTCCTTCCCTGAAACGAAGTAGCATGTCATGGCACAGAGGAGCTGTTACCCACTCAGCTGCAGGATGGCAGGGACACAGAAGCATTAGGTACATCAGGGAGGCACTTGGTGTATCTGCTGTGGATCCTTCTCCAAACTTTCCACCAAAACCACATCTCACATCTCTATGGGACAAGCAGTAAGATAGAAAAGTAGTGAGACAATAGCTGGAGGGGGTGCATTACTACAGTGGATATCCCCACGCTTGCTCCCAGAATCACCTGCAGAAGGGTTAGAGCAGAAATCTGCAGTCAGGGCCGCAGGGCCCTTTCCTCATTACTAACTCAAAGTATTATTCAGGGCCAGCCGAAACAACATTTCCTTCCCCTCCCTTTTGCACATCCAAAATGAGTTGACTGATGGGACAGATATTGGAAACAAAGACCAACTGGGGAGGGCAAAAATAGAAAAGATGACCCCCATGCCTCAGTTACCCCAGCTAGTGCCAACCTCACAATGCTGTAACGCTGCCCAAGAAAGCCAGTCAGAGAGACTCAGCATGACACTTCCACTCTCTTCAGGGACACCTGCAGCTAAGCCCTGTGTCAGTAAGGGAGCACCTGCAGAGCGATATCACAACCCAGCTGTGCTTTCAGACAGCTGGAATTCCCCATTCCACCACTGCACACAGCATCCAAAATGGTTTCTGTTCTGCAGATGCCAACATTCTACTCTGATAGACTTGCTCGCTGTCTGCATGTTCCAATGGGCCCTTCCCCAGGCCGGTGCTAGTTGGTACTTATCAGCCTGAACCCTCACATTCCTCATGAGACATTTTCAGTAGGCACATGTCACTAGGGCTCTCCTCGAGGGCAGTACTGCAATCTCCACTTCAATAGCTGGGGAAACTGAGGTGCCAGAGATATTCACACAGAAGAATTTCTGCCTCAATCGAAAGATAAGAAAAGAAAGTCATACTCCTACTCCACACCAGTGTCAGAGCACAGCCAGCTCTGCAGAAACCACACTGATGCCACAGGCTGTCCCATATCTGTGGGAGAGCCTGGTGGACAGAACCACATACATACCCTCTAATACTTTGTCCAGATCTGCAATGAACTCCTCCAGCTCCTGCGTGTCTCCAAGCTTAGCTAGCAGATAGAAAGACACCATCAGTGCTCTTTCATCCCACTCCCCTCCACCAACACCCCTCCAATCTAAGTGAGGGGCACACAGATCAGAGCTGGCAGAGCTCTGGGAAAGAGGTTTCACAACAACAATGCTACCCAAGGGCAGCACAGAAAGGAAATTCCCAGGGCTAACTGACTGCAGACACACACCTCCACACCTGAGAACTAGCCGTCTCCTCACAGCCCACCAACCCCATCCTCTATGCTTCCAGTTTCATACCCAGGCTCTGGGAGCGGCAGCACAATGACCCAGCTACAAGGCACGGAACTTCCTTCACTTGCTTGTAATACCTCCCTAATGCAGGGCAGGGAAACCCCAGCAAACAGCCCTTCAGACAGACCTTCCCACCTTACCTTTAGAGGAGTAAGGACTAGTGTGGGTGTTGAGATCTTCCTCACTGGAGTTCAAGCTGCTTGCTGGGGATGTGCTGGTACCTGTGGGTGCAAAAGCATTATTCACTGCCCAAGGCCAGAGGCACCCAGTAAACAGACTGCAGAACCAGGGACCGACCCCATGCACACTGCAGGACTGGGCTACTTTCTCACTTGTTCAGTCTGTCCGCTCTTCCCTGGCTAGAAGGAATGCTCGTAGGCTGCAGGGCATGATCTTCCCTGTTCTCTCAAACAGCTCTGCAGAAGCAGCACCAGCAGATGCTGGCAGCTCCTGGACCAGGACCCAGCCATAACCACAGCCCTCCCAGACACCACATTACTCATCCTGCGCACGAGTCGGGTCAGACAGGCAGCGCAGGGGCTGAACCAGCAGAAAAACTCGTGTTTTATCATGGAAGAGCCCCAGAGCTCTCAGAGCGATTCCACGCTCAGGAACACCGCCCTCCCCCGCAGCCCCACACTCACTCTCCAGCTCATCGATGCCGCTGTCGTACACACTGTGCCCCGCTTTCCTCTTCAGCTCCTCCAAGTGCCGCTCATACTGACTCGCGGGGCCTCTGTCGAAGCCTTCGACGACCTCATCGAACTCCCGCAGCAGATCGCTCAGCTCGTCCGACATGGCTGCAGGGAAGCATTGGGCAGTGAGGGACTGGGGACGCGCACCGGGCAAAGCCTCGGGAGCCGTCCCAGGCTGGCGACCAACAGACCGCATAGCCGAGAGACCGCATAGCCCGCAGCGCCCCACGAACAGGCTCCCCCCGACCGGAGAGGAGCGGGATCCCGGCAGCACACGGCACTTACCTCCCCGATCCGATGCTCCGATGTGCCGGAGGCGGTCGCGGCGCATTTTGTATCAGCGCCACCGCCCCGCGGGCCGCTCCGCACCAATCGGCGGCACCGGGCGGGGCCGGGGCAGCGCCGGGATCGGGATGCGGTTACCGCAGCGCCGGTCTGGGTCTCCCCGGGTTTCCCCCCAGCCCAGCCCAGCCCAGCCTCCTCCTCCGCGCTGTTTCCCGGTGCGGTTGTCCAAGCGCGGTTGGCCCTAGGCTGGAGGTCGGCTATGTGCTTGCGGACCTCAGCATCTCCTGCCAGCTGCCCGTACTAATCATTAGCCCAGCTCTTCCAAAAAAGAGCTTTTAGCCTCCAGGAGGCCGCTGTCTGTGATTGTCGCAGAGTGGCCTTGTGAGCTTGAGTTTGCCTTGGCCTGAAAAACTGACCTACAGCAAGGGTGAGCAGCTAAGCCAAGAGGGTGATCAGTGGCACAAAGGCTAACTGGCGGGCAGTATGAGACAGAGCCCCCCAGGAGTGCATTCTGCGTACTGTCCTGTTCTACATCTCTGAAAAGATGCTGGGGCAGAGTGCACCCTAGCTGGGCTGCAGGTGACACTAGCCTGGGAGGAGTGGCAGACACAGCAGGAGGCTGCACTACCATCCAGAGGGATCTCAAAGCTGCTCTATCCTCTCTGCTTCTAGGATGATCAGCGGGTTCTGTCTGTAGTTTCAATCCCCATCACCTTGGTGGTCTCAGGGAGCAATGGGGAGCTCTGATTGCTTTCTGCCACCCCTAAATCTAAGTTGGGAATCCTTCGGGTGAATGAACTGGTCACAGAGGGACACTACAGTCTTCAGAAGAAAAAAAAAAAGCATGTCTGTGTTTTCTAACTGTGCTCATTTGGAGTTTTCTTTAGCTTTACTCCTGAACTATCAGCTAAAGCTGACACTTTCTGGGTGTAAGCTAGGGTCCCTATATTCGTTTCAACGCAGAGTGGCACAGAATATGATCTCAGCCCTCGTGGTGCAGAACCTGTATTTAGAAGAAATTTCACGTTGGTCATCGAGAAGCAAGCAGTTATTACAGCAGTATTTTACGCTGCAGTGGGACTGGCCATGCTCTGATTTGCCATACTGTGCTCCGGGGTTTTCACTGTAAATAACACAGTACAGGGAAAGCTGGAAACCCCAGGCAATTCCCTTCCTTCTAAGCCACAAGAGTGCTGGCCCACAGCCAGCTTTGGGCTGGTTCTGCTGCAGAACTCTACCAGTTCTAACCTTCTTAAGACCTCTAAAGCTGACTCTAGCTGTAAAACCCCTCTGGTGTTGTGTAGCCCAAACTGTTTCCGGCAGTGTGTGAGCAGGCAGCCCACAGCTGCCCTCAGCAGCATCACTCTGTCCTGGCACCTGGGGGCTGCAAACTGCCAGACAAAATTTCTGACCGTTTTAAAACATATTTTTATAGCAGTTTGCAAATTCAGGTGGGTAGAAGGGTAAAAGAGGCTGAAACTGAAGCATGGCAAAAGCCAAGCAGATTTGCCAGGATCCAGCTTTACTTCTATCCTTCAGCTTTTTGCCTGCATCTCTTCTGAGGAGCAGGCCTATTGGGGCAGCAGCTGAGCAAGGGTCGGGTAAAGTGCTTCAGGAACAACAGGGCTCTGCGACCGATTCGTGAAGTCTTGTTTGTTTGAGGAAGCTGAAATAGAACAAGTCATATGCAAGCACACGTGCCAGGCAGTGTCTGCTGCTGCGCTGCTGAAAGAGCACTTCATGCTGCTGAGAGGAAGCAGCACGCTCACACAGACAAGTGGTGACAGCTGCCCTCATGTGGAGCTTTCAGCAACATCCCGGTTTATCCCCTGCCAGTGAAGTTTCAAGCCTTGCATGCAGTGGAAGAACCTTACACTAAGCAATTTTCTTTCTTTTCAGTAAAAAATAGTAATTAATCTTTGAAAAGTGCATTTCTCTGCAGCGGCTGCGAAGGACAGCCACTTCACACTTCGTGGTGAACCCTCGGTTGTCCTCTAATACAGTGTTTGGCACACTTTTGCACAAGCAAACTTTAAAAGGAGTTTTCTTGCAAAGCAGAGCAAATAGCATTTCATCATAGCCATCACCTTCAGGTTAACATAATCAAGAACAAGAATTAAATGCCCCACATAGTGGTGCTTTTGAAAATGCATTTCTTCCCATGGCCCGTGGGGAGCAGCACATGAAACGCAGGGTGTGCGTTGTGCACACGTTTGAAATGAATCTGAGTGCAGCCAGCTTGTCTGCCGGGGTGCCTCTACAGGGCACAGAGGTGACTGCAGAACTTTTCGTTGCCTTAAGTGTGGCTTCCAAAGGGGCGAGGCACATCGATTGCTCTGGTGTCAGCTGTCAGCCAAACACACAGCCTGAATGTCACTCACATCTTCAAACCCGGTCTGGCTCTGCAATATATTTCCCCAAGGCGCTTCTCATTTGGTGTTTTGCTGGCATCTTCAAACTTCAGCTTACAACTATTGCCACTGCACTCTTGCGCCTTTCCTTTGCCTCTTTTGTAACCTCCTCCATCAAATCTGTTACGCAGTCACCAGGGAATCCCATACAGGACACTCCTTTAGGACAGCCCTTCTCAGGATATCCCATCAGTCTGCTGCAGTAAGCAAGAGTTACCCCTCTATTCCCCACACGTCCAACATTCCATATTTCAACATGACAAAAATATGATTTGCAGTCCAGGTGTTGCATGGGCATAATGATTTGAGTGTCCTTATGTCCATTTAAAGTCATAGAGATCATCTGCTTTTTCTTGAACTCAAAATCATGAGTATTTGTAACCACTCCTCCCAAACTGAGGATCTGTTTCCTTCCCAGTGCTGTCTCTTGAGGGTTTCACAGAAATGGCATCCAACTGCTGTAAAACCCCTGCCCTGAGCCACCAACGGCACTGGCTACTAGAAGACCTTATCCTCATTAGTGCTGCTAACGAACTCAAGCTGTTGTGGCTGACACAAGATAAGGTGTCACTCACACCCCATGGGGACAGCAAGACCAATGCTGACTGTTGACTGAGGAGCAGAGTCTCACTGATGGGCCAGAGGCTTTTAGGAAGAAACTGAAAGGTCCCCCAGAAGGTCTGCTTTTGCACCAGGTATAATCCTACATCTGTCAGCACAGACCAGCTGCTCTCTGCCTTCTTGGATATGATCCTGGTTGTACAGCTGGCCATTGGCTGCCTGAGAGTGTTGATGGCCCCGGGAGCATTCAGCAACTCTTGGCATCCTGCGTTTATCTGTTCCTGCAGAGTCAACAGCACCGCTAATCTCTGGATTTGTGGGAGGCTTTCACCAGCTATCTCTCAGCACACTCATCCTTCTTTAGCCTGCTATTTTCTGGGTACTGCTTCTCCATCCATTCTGAGTGTACCCATCCACAGGAAAAAAAAGACCTTTTCAAAGCAAGAGTTCAATCTCAAGCAGTGCAGCTGCAAAGATGCAGTACCCTGTGCAGGTATCAAGCACTGGTCAGATGAGGCTATATCTCCTCTCCCTGTCTGGTGCTAGAAAGATCATGTATTCACTAACAATCCTTTTGAAGCTAAAAAGAATGGCCAAAGCCAAGCACTGTAATGACAAGTGTGGGACACATGAGCTGAGCTGTGAGCTCCCTCCTCACAAAGAGGGAAGTGCTGGAGTACATAGGTCTGCACTTGAGTTATGCCCACAAAACAAAACTTAATCCCTAATGAAAACCTGCTTCAGTTGTTTGCATGACCCCAAATGTTTTCCCGTGGTCACAAATTTCACCTGAGCATGCAGAGGATATACAAACTGTTTCCATCAGAAAAGGCCCAAATATTTAGTCTATCTCAATCCCATAGTCACCCTAATCCCACTACTAATCCCTATCAGTCCTAAACTAAAATTAACCCTAGCTCTATTTCTACCACTGAACACACACTAAGCCTATGCCTGCCATTAGTCCTAGGAAAAAAGATTTTATCAGTGAAACTAATACGGTGCATTTATTCATCTCCCCCCACATCAAAACTTCCCTAAACTAATTCAATTGTCCTGAGAAAGCTTCAACCCACTAAAAAACTTGGAAGTAGGAGGACATAATCATAACCTTACATGGAAATTCAGCATTAATCCCGACCTTAACTGCACATCTCATGCAGGGACCTATGCAGAGCATTTCTCAAACAGCTACCAGGTGGTGCAACCTCTGTGTGGAGTGCCCAAGAGGATCTGGGCTTTGAAAACCCCAGATGACTCTAGTCTTCCTTTGGCAATTCATCTCCAGTCCCAACACGCTACCTCTCCTTGCTATCCCTATGGCACAGTTCTGTCAAGCACTCAGACACGGTTCCTTTTCAAAAGTATTCTTCTATTTTCCAGCCATTTTGTTGAGAGGAAGGGGTGCGAAGTGCATCAGCTTCTACACAACATGGCAGTGTAAGACATTTAAACTACAGCAACAAACAAACAAATACTATTTCCATACATCAGTGGATGGCAGTGCTGATGAGGAGCTCACAGTGAAAGGAAGTGCTTCTGATGGGATGGGAGCTTCTGTACAGATAAATTTTAATCAGTTTCCTGCAAAGACTGCATTTGGAAGAGTATCAAATAATATATGAACTCAGGTAAGATAAAATTAATTAGTAACCAGAAGTTTCCATCACACAGGAAAAACTCAGTGCTGCCTAAATGTAACATAAATGTCAGGTTGGTAGAGACCTATAGGGCAAGTAGCAAAAGGAGCCAGGCAACCTGTGCCCTGAGTTATAAATCCACTCAATTTCTCCACAGTTCAAAGAAAATAAGTGTCATTGTGTATCTCATGATCTCTATCTCCAGAATAAGTAATAGATTTACAGTTGATTTCAGGGTGTCCAAAAGGGAGGAGCTGTGACACCAGATCCCTCTTTCCCCAGCACCAAAAAAAATGTCAGCACATCTCATATCCTGCCTCCTTCCTGTTCTGAAGCACTCCAGCTTTACCCATCTTCCTTCCGTACCTGTCTATCCTAGTTCTCTACATCAACACTCCTTTGGGCACCTATTCTCCCTCCACA